TAAGTATAATAAAAAGCGGGAGAGGGGGAGGGCAGCTTTTGTGGTTGGCTGTATATTTTTGTCTCTACATGCTTTTTGTTTTCATGGGACGAGCATAGATGAGTACCACCTGTTGGATGTTTAAGAATGCAAAATGCGTCATCGGGAACTTTTTTTTATTATTTCAGAACGGTTTATACACGTCTACACACTACCGAAACAACGAACAGAAAATATGCACACAAGTGTATAGAAAAGCATCACGCCTTGCTACCCAATCTGTCAAACGGGTCCTCTTGATTCTTGAAATGTTACGAAAGGTACAGGTTGGTAAATGCTACGTTACCTTGGCACATGATTTTAGCGTTGCACATAGACATTAGAATGTTGTTTTATAATCTGCGAAGGAGAAACTATGTACACTTCGCGTGACACATATACGCGGGAAACAGGGATGTGGGAAAAAGCGCTTTCATAAATAAGATCAGGCTCAAGAATGAAAACAGTCAGGTACCATTCAAAACCGTCCTTGAGACACTGTAGGAGGCCGAAATGAGTGAGAAGACAAACACACGAGAGCAACAAAAGACAAGACGACGCGCACGAAGCACCACCACGTTTGACTTTCACGTATAAACAACATTGTAAAGGGGCCCTGAAACACTTCGTTGAGTAGCCATGGAATTAATTCACTGGAAGAGCTTATTGTCTCACAAATTCAACGCCGAAAAAAAAGTTAAGAATCCGTCCAGTGCGAGCGGAGTTACAAATATTTGTCACACGCTGCCATTGCATTCTCTCTTCTCTCGTCCTGACTAAACCGCTGGAAGCTAAGCAGGGATGGATGGGATAGTCAAGCAAAAAGCATCACGCGTGCCTCGTGACCTTGAGCACTTTTTCTTTCTTTTTTTTTCGAATACGCGGCTTATCCAGTGCGATCGCGCACGTGTGGACAAGGGACAACCTCCCGCGGCTATCTCTGCAACGACCGAGCGCGCCAAATTCAAATCAGCCAATGGCTGATAGATGAGCATTCTACGTGTGATTTTTCAGCGTCTTCCGTCATTTGCCGAGGGAAGAGAAAGCAATTTTCAGCTAGCTTTGATAATTTCTTGTGAATTCCAGGCCGCGTGCTGCGCTGTAACATTTGGCTCGCGTGTTCTGAAGAGCCTCTACTACCGATCGGCAGCGTTTTCTGACCATGCTCAGAAAGTGTTGCAGGGCCCCTTTAATGCTGAAACCGGGACGCACGTTTTGATACATCACGGCAACATGCAAAAGCTGCGTTTTTTTACACATGTTTTGAAGTAACAAATGCACGCAGTACCCGCGTAGATATAACGTTCGTTCAATGAAGCGAACTCAAACAAATATCAGTTGCTCGTTTTTTTTTTCTTACCCAAATGAAGAGATACACTGCCTGTATACGCATAAAAATAAAAGAACGTGACCACAATTTTGCAAACCTGGTCATGTGATTTTTCTGCTAAAAGAGGAAGACGTAATGATTCTCACCTGGCTAATGGGCTAGTGACCGCATGCATTGAAGCGAGTACTATATAAGGCTAAAAGTATAACCATGAGCGACTGTTGAACGGCGTTGTTCGCTTCGTATTCATGTCGCCACGATCGCACAAAATACAATAGCATAAAACACGTGCAACACTAGGCAGGTGCACCGATTGATACACCAAAATCTCATTTCGATGAATTTGCCCTGTCAATTCGGCGTTAATACTTCGGTTGCCTTTCACCTATGTGAAATTTAGAATACAGCTGCCTGAAGTGTTTTGCAAATCGTTAAATTTAAAGCAGTTTTGATGAAATGATCTCAAATTTATGTTTTGGTGTCCATACCGGTTCCCTCTTCTTATGCAACATTACGAGTCCCGAAAAGTCGCCTTTAGATATTTATTTTTTGATGACTGCTTGCTTCAATAATGCCATATAGCTCGCTCAGTAGAATACTTTACGAAGCAATGCCGAATATACAATAATGCCTGAGAGGCTGAAAGCAACATAATCTCTATGTAAACAAACTAAGATCCTAATTTTTTCATTCATTACTCCTTTCATTTGGCAATAAATTACTAAATTACCAAAAAAACCCAGAATGGGAGAAATTGGTACATTCGGTGGACGTCTAATACAAAGGCTGTTTTCGCGGTAAAAGGAAATTGCACAAAATGGAGGCTCAGTACGACAGTCACGAAACTTCTATGTTACAGTTGACATGCACTTTATTCTGATGACGCGAGGCGGCCCTGACGGCACCCGGCGAAGCTTCAGTTGAAGTGGGTTCATTTCAAGTACGCAGAAGTTACGTAACAGTTCGCAAACGGTGGCATTCAACGTTGCGACGGTGGCGCAGTCTTCATTCATGATGATGACATGTGGGGTTTAACGTCCCCAAAACCACCATATGATTATGAGAGACGCCGTAGTGGAGGGCTCCGGAAGTTTCGGCCACCTGGGGTTCTTTAACGTGCACCCAAATCTGAGCACACGGGCCTACGACATTTCCTCCTCCATCGGAAATGCAGCCGCCGCAGCCGGGATTTGATCCCGCGACCTACGTGTTATCAGCCGAGTACCGTAGCCACTATACCACCGCGGCGGGGCGCAGTCTTTATTCAGACAAGCTGTACGAGACGGTGAAGTTCACAGACATTTTCGCTAAAAACGGAAACCCGGCATGTATGTCACTACGCATGCCGAATACGACTTGCCCAATGCGTGATAGTCTTCTGAGAAAGGCTTCTAAATTAATGGCGGCCACATTAAGCTGGCCTTATAATTTCATTGTCCTCAGTGGCATTGTTTTTTTTTTTCAACATGTCGCAGATCACTTGGCACGCGACCCAGCTATTACAGGGGCGAAAATTTGCAAGCTAATACGCAACATGTAATGAAAAGAAAAGTCACATGCAAGAAATGCACTCAGAATATGTTTGACATTGCTTGCCACACAACTGTCATATGGTCTTCTCTTGCGACACCACTCGTTATTTTAATAATCACCCATCATCCCCTGTTAGACCCGCGAGCTCCGTCAGTATATAGTGTGCGTAGCGCTCGCTCTTACGTGAGGTGCCGGCGTGCAACAAAGGTGGCTCTGTTAAAGCAAACCAAACCATGGTTACAACAGTCCACTAAACCACTGTTCTCGAACTTCAGTGAGGAAACAGAGCTTGCATCGAATCAAGGTAACTTTCAATGCCACCGAATCAGGGTGCAGAGCCGCTTTTGAAACGTTACGCACACAGTTCGAGTGACGACTAGCAGGCTCTCGCTACATATTATGGTAAAAAAAAAAACCCCAACAACAAACAAACCTTGATTTCTTTTTAAAGAACCAAAGCCACACCTATTATCATGAAGAAACACACTGCATTTCATGCAAAATATGTCGCGCATAGAGCAAAATATGAAAGACAAATATGGCACACACATTTTATAATAAGAATATCGCCAGAAGTGCATTTATGAGTGTCCCTGAGTGTCTACCCCGAAAATGTTAATAAATGCATGCTCAATAAACCTTGTTCACGTGTGTCCACGGTTATGAAATCCACTTCCCGTATTCACGAAGCAGTTCATACACGCTGGAGCAGTTGGTGAGAACCAATTGTGCTAAAGAACGCAATAGAATTGTAGGTAGCCGCACAACAGTAAAGTGTCATGACAAACGAAAATATTTATATTTGTTTTTTTTGCAGTGTGTGTGCGTCAAAGTCTGCTTTGACTTATGCCTTGATCCTATCGTGTCGCGAAGTTTCTGTGACACAACGGCCTGTGTCATCGTAATGCTCAAGAAACTTGGCGAAACCAATTCATAACCCTGTGCAATCAATATACAAAGCAGAAGCGGCCCACTTTGTGGCGAATTAAAGCAAGATTGGTGAATAAATTGTCTCCAAACTCAGTCGACGCACTGCACATTGTGCGGTTCCGTGCAGGACCTGATATATTATGCGCCTGCGCTACAGCACATTTGGTTTATACGCAAGCTCGAAAGACATCGATATATTTGTAATGCCTGCCTGACTTGCGCATAATGACAGACTTACAAAATGTGACCTGAGGAGTCGGGGACACAAAATGACTGAGTGGTGTCAATGACACACAGCACGACAGCTGCATTACTTTAAAAAGTACACCAATGTTCGCCTTCTTTTTTTTTTTCTAGTGAAGCGTCTTCTTGTGAAACACCGGGTCCTTTAGTACTACCGCCCATTTGGCATAAGTTAATCTCAGATTGTCGATGTACAATGACGTATTTTCGTGCGTTTGTGGTCGTATAGCAATACGGAAAACGGTCAGATGCACTGAAATGAGAAGCTTACAAAAATTCACTGGAATAACCTTATAAAACAAGTGCGAAACACAGCAGCACAGATACACGCGTTTGAGTTAACTCCGTATACATGGAGTAGCCGTTTTGTGCGCCAGTAGACAGTTATAGTATACCATGCTGACCGGGATACCGGGCGTACCGCGATAGCGGGGTCGAAGTGCGCATGCGCAGATACGTACGTTACCCGTACCGCTTACCGTACGCGTGCTATTTTTTTAGATTTAACGTTACCATGGTAGCGTAGGCGTACGTAGTGTACGTAAAACATGGTGGCACTCTCGGACACCCGCTTCGAAGTGATTTGGCGTAGTTGTTGAAAGGTTCACCTTGTTCACAGCAAACGACTGTTTAAAGTGGCTTCGCTTGCCTTCAGTTAGCTTCGACGATCGAGTATTACGGATAAGTTGGCGTAGTTTTGAGATAGCTTCCGTAGTTTTTGAGATAGCTTCCCTGATAGCTTTCGAGATAGCTTCAATCTTTTAGTTAGGCCTAGACGCGTCTAGGCCTAACTACAAGATCGATTTAAATAAATCGGCAACATAATTGTTTTCGCGTTTGGTGCGTGGTTCATATTTAGTTACTTTTATTATTACTAAAATAAACTTGTAACAATGCTTCGCGCGGTGGCACAGGCAAACGTTCTCGTTTTTTATTTTATTTTATACTGTCTTTTAACTTACTAACCATCCAATAGGTGGCGCCACCGTCCGAGATGAAGCACGTAAATCACGTGAACGGTATTCCGACCCGCTAAACTACAATACGCTGTCCACAACGAACGTACAATGCACGGTAACGTCATTCCCTTAATTTCTGCTATCACGCTAACGGTAAACTATAACTGTCTAGTGTTACGGCTATACAGTTCGACAACGCTCGCCGTCAAAATATCTTGCACGGATTGTACGAGCGGTGAATATAGACAGCAAACAGAGAAGATTCGCATACTTAAAGTAGCCTGGCGTTACAACCCAATGTGAGAGCTTCCTTCCAGACTTGCATCGAGACTATACGATGGAGAACGACACCAAGGAGGGGATCGGTGACGTCCCGACGGTCGACAACAATATCCACGTTATGCGGGCCCTTGGTGGACGTCCGTTGTGTGTACGGATCAGGCGCCGCATAGGGTACAGGGCTGGCCATGCGCGTCATTTCAGGCCTTTCTTCTTTGGCGGCAGCTCCTCGATGTCTTTGATGCCGAGCACGCAAACCCTTGTCTCCCAAAGAGCATCCGCCAGCTTCTTCCGGAAGCGCTTGTCATCGAGACCAGAGGCACGGCGCTTCCGACACGGCTTCTGGCGCAGCTTGTCAAGGCAAGCGAAAAAGGCCTGCAGTCGGAAAAGGAAGAAAGAAACAAGAAAAGACGTGAACACTGTTTCCCGACCAATCACGCGTTCACGAATGACGCAGCCACGTAGGTGCAGCGGTACGCAAATGAGGGAAGGAATCGAGGATCAAAGGGCAACAAGCTTGTTAAGAAAGCTTGCGACAGCAAAGCGAGCAGAAAGGCAGCGCCGTCAGTAAACAGCAATGTCACCCGCAGCTGTCAAATCGGAGAATACTCATGCGCCTTCTAGTGTCTGTGTAGGCGTTAAAATTTTGAAGTGATGTGGTGGCAGTTGGAGAATATACCGAGGCGCTTCGGCCGACGGTCATGCATACAAACCGAGTGGAATTCAGTGACAACCTTTAACACCAAATCACACGCACGGTACAGTCATTTTCGTGTCTTGTTTGTTTCACTGAAATTTATTGCGCGCGTTCTACTTCGCTAGTTGGTGCTCCCTTTAGAGCATTATATAGGGAATTAGAGGGGGGGGGGGGGCTCCTTTCCTAAGCCTCAAGAAGGGCACCGAGTACTCAGTGGGACCAGCCCTATAATTGCTCAAAACACAGGGTTGATACCTTGCAGGTTTTCGGCGGCCATGGCAGCCTAGGAACCCCGATGTTGCATTCCAAGAATGATTTACATTCCACCTGAAGCCTCACAAAGCCAAGAACCATAGGCAGGCCGTTACGAGAAACGCTTCGGCGTTTAATTTTTATTTTTGTATCTATATCGAAGCTTGTTTGATTTTGGACTCCATATCACAATAAGGGAGTGGTGTGGGAATTAGTGTAGGCGCCCAAGGAGAGCTTACAATGGTGAATGTCACGAGCATGGGCGTTTTTTTTTTTCCTGACGGCACGGTTAAGGTGTCCCCTGAGAGGCAAAGCATGCATGGTACGCGAATGAGAAGAACGCGATGGGAACGGCACCCGAATCGCGTTCCTAAATGCGAAGCTTACGCGTCCTGCATGTTTTGCTGTTTCGTTTTTCAGCACTCACCTTCCTCAGGGTACAATGAGTGTTGTAATAGTCGGCGCCGGACAGGTACTCCACCAGATTGAATGCCCGCATGAAGTTCTGGCCGCAGCGGCGTAGCGCCACCTTGTGACAAACGTCATATGCTGAAATACGGGGACGGAACAAGCGTTGGCTATTTCTCTTTCCAGGAAAGTAGCCAAATGCGAAGGTCATACGATGAGGGAACATGACGAATGGCTCACCATTTTCTTCGATGCGGGTCTCGTTCTCTTCGTGAAACCTGTGTAGAAAGTCCTGCTTTTTCACTCTGCGATAAGGTAAACATGAGTGCGAATATAGGGTTCTGACGAGACGAAGAATTAATCATGCGAAATTTAAAGAGTAAGAATGCAAACATGCAAGAGTCGCAGGACACGAGCATTTGCTGCAGTTAACGCTTTTCCCTCTCATCCTCCTCTTTGTGGAACTCTCATTCGTCAAATTCGTCAAAGTGCGTCATTACAATACTTTAGCGTATATGTACTGTTATGCCTAAACGTTGTCGCATAACGGGTGCTCAAAATGCTCGCGAGCGCTCCGCAATGCTTAATAGAAGCAGTACGGGTAAGGTAATGTGGCCATTTCTAAAATGTTCACCCTTTTACATTTTTTCGCTCTGCTTAGTGTGTTCGAAACTTCATACTTAGCTCACTCTCACTCTCTTTTTCACTCGTCTCTGTATTCTCCGGCAAAATAAACGACTCTCCGTAATCCTAAAGCCTTACTATAGCAGCACAGCAGATGTCACTATGACATTTCGCCGAAGTATTCATACTGACATTAACCATTCAAATTTCCTTATAATACACCTACGAGTTGTCGTTAAAATGAAACAAACTTTCAGCGCAAACTGCCGCTTTACCTTGCAGAATTGTTCTTATTCACAATACGCAAAATATTCAAACTTTACTGCTTGCGTATGCATAAGTGTCTTATAAACGCATACTGTATTCCCCTATAGAATCGCTTCGAAGTGGTTGTGCATACGCAGATTCCACTAATGGCGCTTAGGTGCGCAGAATTCTTTGTTTATTGCAGTTTTTTTTATGCAACTCCGCACAACTTATGCACGAGATGAGTCAGCAGTTTTCACGTTTAATCAGAAATTCATCTTTCGGTTCTTTCCTTTGACTGTTTACAAGAGAAGCGGCAGAATTCGAAGCACTTGACGCAGAAGGTTAACGAAAGGGCGACTGATAAGAGCTGTCCCAGAGAAAGGTGTGCTGATCTGCTCATACGGACATCGGCTTAACGCTCTCAGCTTGGCACCGAGTACCACAGCAAAGTAGCAGTCGCGTCATGCTCCTCAGGCAAATATGTCATTGTGCAAGAAGATCAAATGTTTACGGAGTAATTTCGAAAGCTGTTCTGTTCTGTTCTGTTTTAACTGTTTTGCTGTGGAGAGGTTGAGGTGCCTATTGCCTCGGCTGCTCCTTATCACAAAGTTCTGCAGCGGAAAATAAAAAGCGCACTGTATAATACCAAACATATGCAAACTATACGGCATAAACTCATCACGTTCCATCAAAAAAAAAAGAATCAAACAAAACAATACTTTTTTTGCTTTGGTGGAAATATTCTCTGTCTTTATATAAGAATGCTGTTTCGGGGGCACAATAATAACTCGACTTTCAGAACATGGAAATGTTTTGTGACATAGATATTGCGCATTTTCACACTTACCATCTGCAGTATTACTCCGAACCAACATAAGTGCAAGAAATCCTGACAAATAAGCGATCTCACACTTTTTTTTTTGAGCTTTGACTCTTTCTTTGCGAAATCTTGCAGCTGAAGCACTACTTACGAATCAGCGTTGTATGTGTACACATACCAGAGTTCTAACTATATTATAAGCATTTTTATTTGCGCAGTAACAAATTTTCTCAGATGGCAAGCCGCAAACTTTTTTTCGATCGTTTACGCACTTTCTTTCGACATGAGATCCTCATTAGATAAATTACGCACTTTCTTTCGACATGAGCTCCTCATTAGATAAACGTGAAACGTATGCCGCTGTACTTATAACAGCCTTTAATTAGCTTGTCCCGGAGGAAAATTCTCTGCATACCGCAATACACGTAAAGCCACCCATTCTTTAGACAACCCAACAATACAACGGTTAATAATGACTATACTACCTTTGGGCACGTTTTACCAACCTGCCCAAGTAGAATGGTAATGGTGAATTTCATTTCTAATACCAGCGGTCAAATATACCATCGCTTTCTGTTCGTATTGTGCGCCAAAGGTTTTAGTCGTGAGAACGAGTCTACATTAACGCTTTCAGACGCCAACAATGAAGAACTGCCTGTAAATGCGTCAAATTGTCCCAGCTTAATTTCAAGGTCCTCTTTATTATTGCAGCAACAATAATTTTTGTAATAGATTGATTTATGCGTTTTATACCAGTTAATTGAAATTAAGCTTTCACTAAATATCTACTTATCCTGAAGACATTTATGTTTGGTTCTTGCATATATAGAATCAAACTTCAGACTGGAAATAAAGTGCTAATGGGTTTCTGGTTCAGTTGATATTGAGAAAAGAAAAATATATATTTCGACGTGGCTTCAGGGAAGCCCCACGTCGAATGACCCGTCGACTATGATAGGGCCTTCGGAAAAGTGATTATATGCAACAGTTTACGAACTGAAGTTAAATAAAGACAAGTTTATTAAGGAAGGGGGTTCATTCCATCTAAACCTCATTGTATTTCGCACTTTCTTAGCTCCTATAGTTGACAGCATCAGCAAAAATAAGTGATTTACACAGCGTCTGAAAGGGTTAAGGAAGAACTGGACACAAATCAAGGTTCAGCGCATGGGCGCGTAGTAGTTAAAGGTGTTTCAGCTTAAGCAGTTATATCCGGCCTCGCGATAAACAGCGTGCTCACTTGTATTTGATATCCCGTCGGGGTTCGGCGATGACCAGCAGCACTGCGATGAGCACGACGGTCACTGCTGGGAAGCCCATCCCGGGCTGGGACAGCGGCAGGCGCGCTCGGCTTTTTTCGGCTGGCTCCTGCAGTATAGAGGCACGTTGATCCGCGATTTCGGTGGAAGCTGAATGTGCAAAACTTATCCCACTACGAGTATGCAACTGGTCTGCGAATGAGCCATCGCTCTACATGCTACATGAGAGCACATTTCTTCGCGAAACGTAAACGCGAGAAAACAAGAAGGAAAAGTTAGCCAGCTTCTCCGAGGCACAAGCGTGGCATTGAAGGTATACATATAGTGCATGCAGATGAAATAGCGATTTCTATTCCACATGCCGCAAATTGGTAGAAGAGACATCGAGTGTCGTAATGCGCTGCGTGTTCTTCAAACTGTCTATGTTAAATATTGTATTGCATTCAGGCTAATAGAAATAACGAAAGAATACAGTAGCTCAGATCAGTGAAATTCTTCAAGAAAAAAAAAAGTGCATTCTAACGAAAAAGCTGTGGCAAGTGTGGAGTGATTCAGCCGCCCTTCGGCGACGCTGGCGTTCGCGGGCAAGCAAGCGCTGCTGGCCTTCCAAACCAACCATGCTGGAAAAAGAAACCTTCATTTGTAATGCAGAGGCATCCTCTCCCCTTCTCTTTCACTTCCCTTTCCACCACTTGCTATACTGTACGTTATGTTGCGCATTCCTTGCTCCTTTTCCCCGTCACCTTTCCCTCCTTCTCACCTTCACATCTCTCCTACTAAAGCTTTGAGCTACGCACGAGCAGCGATACACAGTGATCCGATTCTGATTTTTTTTTAATGGCTTGTGTAAACTTTTATATATGGGCTTTGGGCGTGTGGTTGAAAATTAAAAGGGTTGGGGGGTGGGGGTGGAGATACACACTAAATGAGCGAATGCTGAGAAAGCAGCATAATTGGTGGCGTTTCCCTCCTCTTTTCCATTCTTCGCATCCTCCGTTCCGTTTCACGCCCCTTGCCACCATAGAAGACAATACAATGTCTTTCTTTCCCATCCTCCACGGACAACACCATCACTTTCCTTGCCAGACATTTTGCTGTACTATACACTATGCAATGCAACGCTAGTTTTACTTTCTCTAATCCTCCTTAACCTAGCTTCGTTTTCCCACCCCTTGCTGCGCTATGCCAAACAGGGCTATGCTACGCCTTACCCTGTACTCTCCTTCTTTCCCTGCTCCACAATTTGGCTTCCCTTTCCGATAGGTGGTGGTGGTAGTGGTTAGAATATGAGAAAAGGCACCTAATTTCTGCAACCCGGTCGGGAGCACGGCGCCCTGCTATACTATATATGTACTACACAAGGCTGCGGTATAACTTATCCTTCTTTCCTTCCTCCTCGCCCTGACTTTCCTTTTCCACCCCCTAGCAAGCAATAACATACTACCTATGACTATGCTATGCTATAGGAGCTGCTTGGCAAGTACATACTCTCCTTCGGTGGCGTCTACTCGGAGAGCTTTGTGTCGACGTTGCGCGGGAGGAATGAGGAGATTGGTGGTGGAATATTACTTCGCACTTGGCTTCTGCACATGTGACACATCGCACAACTTTCATTGAAGTTCCTTAACGACAGCTTTGAACGCTAGTTGGACTTAAAAAAAAAGCTTCAACTTTACAGGCTTAGCCATACCAAAACCGAAAGGTACACACAATTAAAATGTTTGTATTGCACCTACAGCAATCATTCAACACCATTTTTCTGCTCTATAACATTCAAAGTGCGCCTTCATGGAAGATATGTTCGAGTTACATCAGAGCAAAAAGAAAAAAAAAACTTCATTTGATTTCATATTCGTCGTTTACGTCTAGTGAATGAGGAATGATTAATGGACGTTGTTTAATCTCTTTGACGGTTCGGCCTGGCAGTTTTAATTTCCTTGACAATTTCGTTTTGTGCGGATAGCCACTGCGGTTTAAACGCTGCGTCTCGTAGAAACGTACATTTATTTTGCAAACATCGGCACATCACTGGCGCTCAAGAGGAATGGTATTGGTCGTGGAAGTCCTTCATACTGCTCGCACTCTCACTTGAGTTTTTTCCCCTTCTATTTCTTCCTATAGGCTCTCAGGAGCTGTTCTAAATCATACAGCACGCAGGGAACCCTGTCCGCGCACATCCAAACACAAGAAAGCGCGGGTGCCTTGCTTACATATTGCGACTGTCCAGGCCTGCAACGACGGACCATCTCTCATATTGTACATGTGACGTAGGGAGACCCACGATCGCCATCTTCCCTTCCACCTCATCCTCTTGCAGCGTATGTGTCGCAAGCGTAGACGAAAGTGAATTGCTGCGAATAGCGAAGCGATGGCAGAACAATGCGGTATTACATATATCCTGTCTCCCGATGTATATATATACGCTGGCGCCACTCAAACCTTGCCTCAGTGCTACAGTTGGGTCGACCATAAATAAAGCTCTATACAGTTAATTGACTCTCATAGCCGCCTTAACAAGTGCATTTATACTGATTTGAAGTGGGCACAGCACTCCCACGCAGGAGACACGGTATTGCTGTCATGGCGCAGATTTGGCGCTCCGAATGTTGCACAACGTTCATTGAATATCTGCGTATCAAACATCGACTTGCTCGCTGTGTCATGGGTGAACGTGAACGGCTAACGGGCCCCTGACCACCACGCTGAATAATATGCGTGCTTCTTTTTGTGCACCCCCCCCCCCCCCCCCCCCCACACACACACATACACACGCGCGTGCGCGTGCAAACAGAGAGAGATTTGCCGTAATAAGTTTTTATCCTTTCGGGCCCCGATGACTTTTAATAAGTTCCGAAAACGAGGACGCTTTCTGCATATACACAAACAAACGAGTCAAGTTTCAAAGCCGCGAAGCTTGTGGAAGCCTTGTTCGAAGTCTTTATGGTTTCCCATAAAGTTTGCACAGCATCGGAGCGCAGCTGTCTTCGCGGCAGACAGCACGCCACCAACGGCGATTGCGCGCGAGTACTGAGAAGGCGAGTATATCGCGGCAGACCTCTCTCGAACGGACGCTTGTAACGAGGCGCTGTCATCGCTTAGTAGGCCTGTTGCAACAGACTGGCTGTCGGGAACCGCGAGCTCATTTTACGAGTAGAGGCCCGAGCATCCTTTCCCGGTTCTGCCAGGCCGCCGTTCTGCCACGCTGTCTTCCAGTCGCGGGCGGTGAGTGGGGTACGTCGCTGAAGCCGCGTGTCGTTTCTGCCGAACCGGAACAAAGGTGGTGGCGCGGCAGAACAAAAGCCCAGGCATCCGGATGCGGCGGCGCGAGCCCATCTTGTGGCGGAGCCGTTACCTCGCCCCCGGTGGCATCCTCTGATTTACGGCGGGGCCAGCGGCGACGGCCGCGAGAGCTGCCGAAAAAACGAGCGACCACAATGCGAGAGGCTGGCCACGACCGGAAGGAGCAGAGGTCGAGATGAGGCGGCCGGGGAATGCGGCTCCAGCGGGAGGCCAGCGCCACTCCGACGCCGTCAGGAATCCGGCCGCCGCACGTCGGCTTTCCCAGAACTCCGGGGCGCGAGCGTCTTCGGGAGCCAATGTGCCGCGGCCCCGCGCAGTGGAGCCCACTGCCGCCGACGGTGGTGGTCCGCAGCCGTTTCGTAAATTTTCCCAGCTTGAAGCAAACAAGAGTCCCACTCAGTCGACCATGCAGCCTCACACATCACTTCTGTGTTTGGATGCGGCCATCGGCTGGTGGGGAGCATGCTCCGGACCTGAGCGCAGAGCCACGCTATACCTTACTAGGAGATCGTCCACCTGAAGCTCAGCAGCCGGCGCACGATATGTTCGATGGGGACAAATCAGGCTAGCATTCAGGGAAGGCTTATAAGTAGAATCTATCTATCTATCTATCTATCTATCTATCTATCTATCTATCTATCTATCTATCTATCTATCTATCTATCTATCTATCTATCTATCTATCTATCTATCTATCTATCTATCTATCTGTCTGTCTGTCTGTCTGTCTGTCTGTCTGTCTGTCTGTCTGTCTGTCTGTCTGTCTGTCTGTCTGTCTGTCTGTCTGTCTGTCTGTCTGTCTGTCTGTCTGTCTGTCTGTCTATCTATCTATCTATCTATCTATCTATCTATCTATCTATCTATCTATCTATCTATCTATCTATCTATCTATCTATCTATCTATCTATTATCTATCTATCTATCTATCTATCTATCTATCTATCTATCTAAGATGTATACAATGTTCGTTTATCTAACTTGCGCATATAGTTTTATTGTGTACTGCTCACTTGGCTCTTGTGGCATCAAAATGACGTGGGATCGAGGCTGCATTTGGTAGTGTAACGAGTTTCCAGGTTGAGGAAACTGATTCTCAGAAGTTGGGTAAATGAACGCTAAAAAGTTTAAGGACATTTTTACACGCTTATTTACACAGTAAAATGGAAGAATGAAAGAGTGCAGGGACGAGCGACTGGATGAGCCTTTTTTTTTTCCCCGGTGCACAGAGCTCTTCTCTGTTGTTTACCTATTAAGCAGCGCAAGGAGACAAGGCACAAAAGGAAAGGTGTCATGTTCGTTCCTTTTGTGCCTGTCTCCGTGCGACGCTTTAAAAGGTAAACATGAACTACCACCAACTCACCCAACTTTCAACGTTACTTTCATCTCTCACATAGCGAAACCTCGGGTCAGCCTTTCCTTCCTTATGGTAGTCAATTACACACAAGAGACCCCTTCCCACTCCCCACTCCTGGACACCAGCCTGTCGCAGGTGGAATGTTGCAGACGTTGATGCAGCAAAAGTTCCAATGGTCAAAGGCATTCTCATGGGGTCCGACCGTGAGAACGGGAGACGGGGAAAGCCCTTCCGCGCATCTTCCAGACAGCAAGAAAAGGGTCACGACGACCTAATTGTTCTGGTCAAAGAACGCGAGTCTGGTCAGAGCCATAGGAACCTTCAGCAGCCCATTGTGATGTCGGCGCCAGCTTTGGCGTAGTAGCCCCGTTGATCCTCTGAGCGCTCTTCCTTCTCTTCCCTTTGTACGCTGCTCCTGGCAGCGGAAAGCCCGTTTCCGGGAAAGATCGTAGTAT